TCTTACAAAGCATAACACTTTGCCCCTTTGAGAAGCTGTTCCATACCAAGTAGGTAAGTATTGGCAGTATGAAGGAGGTCACGGGATTGCAATGACATTCCTCTTTACCATAGGCCACATTCCTAGTACAGTCATCCCCATATCAGTTGACGAGCCTCTTTTCTTTCTACCAACGTTCGGTTGACTTGGCTCTGCCTTCTATTTTGAGGGGGGCAATGCCTGTAGTGATTCTGGGCTGCATCCCTTGTTATTCCCGTATCAACCTTTGTATGGTTTGAAACTACGGATGCGCTATAGGCAATATCTGAGCTTGACTCTGGTAGCATGTAGAAACTCAGGTGTCTGGGTTTTTTATCTTGCCAATAAGTGTCTAACACTGGTCCTCAGACATGTATTTGTCTTTTCTGGTTTGCATGATTAATGTCCCACGTTTCTCAGCCCTGCTTTCTCATGATTGCTTGATAAATTCACTGTTTCCGGGTCCAAGGTCACAGGTGCATATTTCACGACTGCACTACTGGCAAACCTGGATGACTACACTGACCTCGATAATAAATATAGAACTGGGAATCCTAAGTTTGGTTTATGTTTGAATGATAGAGGCCGATACAAGTCAGATTTCCATGTTTGGAGGTCAAACTAGAGCTTCTCGTCTTTGCACCTTTGTTCGATGTGTAAGAAGCAAGGACTATGACATATTGCAGAAATTGCTGTCAAACTCTGAACATCTATGTCGACTTAACCAACAGACAAAGCGAGTTGGTCAAACAGACAATCGATGATAACTCCTTCCTGCGTTTCCTAGGCACCCTTCAAGCTTTTCATCTATGTTTCCAAGCACTTACTGTTTTGCCTACCAACCTTATAGGCCGCTTAATACCATACTAGTCGGGATTCTAGCTAACCATAAGTACATGCAGCAGTAGTGGTAGAAATGAAGGTGATACTATTTGTGTATCTCTGCTATAAGGGCAGAACGAGTCACATATTGTGCGGACACTAAGTTTTCATCTGAAGTGAAGTAAGTTGGCTTTTAAGGTGTCACCCAACACGTGACGGTCATCGTAGTATACTCACCAATCAGTAATTCACCAACAACCAGTATACCTAACAATCCACTTACTCAGATATACAATTCTACAGAGATGAAGCGTCAAGTCCCCAATTCAACCCCCATCTTCTACATGTATATAGGGGACGGGCGACGTGGGGTCTTCAAAGATGTATTGTTTGTGACTGCCTACCATCAAAATTCACATAAAGTTGGCATGTGTTTCCTGCCCTTGCAAAGTCTTGTTCAGCCCGTCACTGCTTGATTGGTTATCATGTCTCTACTAGTGGTACATCCTTTGGGCTGTCTAGGTATATTTCCCAGGGGATGAGCTGTGCAGGTACTAGCCTCCTTGGACCTCTGTCCCTTCCTCGACCGCACCAGCGACCATACTGTGGTGGAAGGAGCAACAAAACCGTGCCTTCCTTGAGTTTTCAAGACTTCTGCAAGGAAAAACGGGTTAATGTAAGTCATGGCCTCTTTATACGTCATGTCGTTTCCGCATGTCCGACTTCTGTCTTCCTAAACACGCCTATCATTTCAACTCCTATCCTGCACATTATTTCCATCCCCTCTCCTCCGAGTCATCTCTAAGTTTCCATCCCGCTCCAATCCTACCACTCGAGTCCAAGACCATGTATACCCTGGTGCCTACTTAGAGGATTTATCCATTATGGTCTGAACATCTATCCTCCAACGGATATTAGGACCACTCTGCCCCTTGATGTTTGATGTACTACCTGGCTTGGTTCTTGGGCACTGGTATCTGAGACCTTCCTTCTACCTCCTTCCTGATTTTCGTCTCTTCTTGCAGGTCGCAGTCTCTGTCAGTTGCCTCCCTTGGGTGGTTTCTTCATGACATACCGGACCCAACCCACAGGATGATTCCCGCCAGACTTGTAATACTGGTGTTTTCAGGACAGGAACTAACATCAGATTTCTTATCGCAGTGACAAAAGTGCTAGCCATGATGGAGCCGGGCGCAGACCGTGGCAAAAAAGCCACGGCTTATAATATTGCCAATTCCAACCGTGACCAGCCGGAGCAGGAAAGGCTCGTGATAGTGGAACGACTTCTCTTGGACCTTCGGTCGGACGGGTTGAAGATAAATCCGTTTTCGTTCGGGATGCCCGTTTGCGACCGTCCGTCAAAGCATGAGGAGCAGAATAACGAGGCCCAGCTGCCGTCGACGCCGCGACCGCAATCGACTCCCCCCCGCCAATACACGACGGTGGGCTCGGTCTATAATCCGCAGCCTCAGCCGCTCCAACCTCCAGTGCGCCGGGGGCGCGCCGCCAAGCCTCTCTTTCCCTTCAACAGCGAGCCGACCCCATCGCAACATCCGCCTCTTTATACCCCGCTACAGCAGAACTCCGACCGCGCTGTCAGTCCGGCCCGCAATAGCTCTGACATGCCTCCTTTCTATGTTTCCACCATCGGCTGTGACCTATCGACGCACTCGAGCATCCCAGGAGGACGAGGCGTTGGTAGAGCTCAACAGGGTTTCCCGGAAGCGTCTAGAGTGCGCGATATAAACGTTGGCGTGATCGGCCAGCAAATTGCCGATCGTACCTCCGCAACCGTTGCCGATGCAATGGATGATTCCGACGGAGACGCTGACGAGCGCACTGTGGGAGCCATATCGAGGATGAATATCAATAGTTTAGTCAACCTGGCATCTTATCCGAACCCGATGCAGCGTACAGCGCAGAAGAAACTCGCTACGCATCGCGCACCACCTGAGCCCGTTAACAATGTGAGTAGTTTCTCTTATGCTTGATAACGAGTGCGACCACTAATTTGCTTCATCACAGGCATCAGAAGTCAAGACGGGGGGCTTCAACGCTCAGGCAGAGCCATGGGTGCCTTCTGGCAAAGCGATTGTTAACTTACCGTCCTTTGTACCGATTTCCGGGGCGCCTGCGCCGCTGACAGCAGGACCGCCTGGTGTGCGCCAATCTCGGCAAGCTGCGTTGGAACAAGAGTCCCTTCACAGAGCTCAAGTTGCTGGTCAGAAGGTGGGCTTTGCACACCCGTCCACCACTGCTCGCGGCCGGAAGACTGGCATGGCAGACGAGGAGAAGATCTCGCCCACGCGACTAGGTGGAGTTGTAGATTATCCTAGCGCCCAGGAAAAGACCTTCTCGAAGAGAAATGCACCTGCTGCCAACACCCAGGACCAACTATGCCTATCTCCAACGTTTGACAGCGATACAGAAGAGGCCATCGATGAATGGATTCGTGGTCGCCTCACTAAGGCAGAGCTCCAGGATAACCCGTTCCTGTTCCAGAGTCGGCCGGATTTCCAATCGGAGCGTAAAAAGAGAATCAACAAGTTGTGGTATGGCGGACGCAATATGTACCGAACAACCTTTGATATGGCAGTGTCGCAACACTACCACCGCTGTGTGACACACACTGTTAGTGCCCCTTATGAGGAGCCCCTGCAGCAGGATGTCGGATCTGAACGTCGTCCGATGACTACCCAGGTTGCTACCGTGATTCCTACAGCGGAACATGCTGCTCCTCTCCTGTCCATGGCTTTTCAAGCCATTGCGAACCGCCCAGAGATTTCCCCTTACAGCCGCCTCCCCAAGTTCCAGCATAGCCTCCATCCCAAATACTTCAAGAGCCGCTCGTGAAGTTATCCAAGGGGCAATTGGGTAAGACAACCGGGAATTGGAAGGTTGGGGTTCACTGTGATTTTCGATTGTGGGAGAAGCCGTGGATGATGCGACCTGATTGTAATGCCCCTTTCGCCATCTTGATGAATCTGGAGTGTTTGCACCATAATCCTTCCGTCAGGATGTGTGTGCTTTACATCAATACTTAGCTAGGTCATAATTACATACAAGAACGAGCGAATATACATACTTTCAGTATTGACTTGTGCAATGCCTACCTATGTTCCGTGATAGCTGTTGGCTTATGACGGCATCCCGGCAAAGCTTGGAAGTACCGAATTGTACAAGTATGGTCCTGAGGATAAGAGTTGTTAGACGCCATGATTCAGTCTTTTGCGGCTCTGCCTTGGTTATTACCACATTGTCAATACTACGTTAGAAGAAGCAGAGGTAGATATGCCTTCTTGGCTATAATGATATCGATGTAGTATTGCGGTAGTACGGTTCACCTCCTCGGTCAGTTGGCGGGTAAGACGCATTTATCCGACGGGCGAAGAAAGAGTCTTGCAAGAGACACGTGGCGAGGGGAGGCGTGTCGTGTCATTCTGTTGTAGACGAGAATCCCCAATCCAAAGCATCCGCAAGACGGGGCAGGAAAGCCATCATTTCAAAGTCTCAGCTTGCATTTAATGATTGTTGAACAATGTCAAGTTCTAGCCTTAAAGTGTTTGTTATGCTGTGTGGTGTTGTGGTGCTGGGATTTTGATAGGGCTAAGGTTAAGGTCTAGTCTGGGCTGGGACTAGCTCATTCATGCTACCGTTTGAAGTTTCTATCGGCAGCGAGCTTTTTGCCTCGAATCTCGTCCTGTGTTTGGAAACAAAATCTAGGTTACTGTAGGTTTTGAGGTTGCTTTCTATGTATCCAGCTGGGTCTATCACGACTTTGCGGCGGCTAACCCGGCTAGCTTGCAGAACCTGGGCAAGGGAGGAAACGGCTCTGCGACGTGTCTATGCATGCATAGATCCAGCGGGCCTTGCCTGGTAACCTAGGAAGCTGGGGAGCCGATGCGCGAGATTGAGGCTACAGTACGTACGGACAAGGAAGGACAGGACAGGGCGAGCATGTGCGTAAAACTTGTCTATCATAAGTCATCATATTGAAAGGATTAGGTTTTGTCAAATATTAGACCTTGCTACAAAAATTCCAAGTTGCGCGAATCTAGGTTTAAATGATCAGGTTTATTGTTTTCATCCAGATAAGGAGGCTGAAGTAGAGGATATCAATGGCAATCAGCTATCTAGACATCACAAATCAACCAATTACATCTCTTATAGTGTAGTGGTTTAGCACGTGGGATTTTGATGAAAAATATTCAATCAATATTCCCGAGTCCCCGGTTCGAACCCGGGTAAGAGATCTTCCCTTTTTTTCTTTTTTGAGATTTTTGCTGTGTTGTCATTTTATCTGTCCTTCTTTTCTGCACAGACATTTTTTGTTTTTGTTTGGATTGGAAAATGGCTTTGATTCAACCAATCCATCCCCTGCTAACCTAGATATTTATCCTTGCTGCTATTTCCTAACCTGCCTTTGTGCACAGCTCTTGGATTTTTTTGGTTTGTCGGACAAAAGTGAATACAGTGCTGTATGTAATTAGGCAGGAGTTAGCAAATGCGCCTTGTTGAAGAGGGGGTTTTCTCCATGTCTGTTCAGTGCAAATGGTGGTTTCAAGACACAAGGCATGCTCATCCATGACACCTAAGGTTAAGACTCTAGAGATGATTCTCAAGCGGGCAAAAATGCCCTTATAATCATACAATCCTATTCTATTGATAGTTCTTCCACGACAATTCCTGGCTTGTCAATGTGATTATGGAATGACACGAATTGGCAGATGGTTTTGGTCTTTCTTGTGGTTCCCAGACCGTAGACACATTGGAATAGTGAATGCGGGGTAACTAGCTCCGAGCAACCTAACTTTCACTGTGGCCACGCGGTATTACTGTAGGTATCCAAAGGCTTGAATATTGTCCTTTTGAAGCATCCTATTGTCTCAGAACTGCTGATAGTCTGTCTGTTGGAAAGAGTATACATACACATCACTGATAAAACGTGATAAAATCTTTCACTTTATTCTGCAAAGCATCATGCATCTGTAAAGGTTGCGGTCTGCAGACAACTGCCCCAGGCAACACTAGTCTCGGTTGTTGGCGCGGTATATCATCAACCCGAGTTACCGACACCGTGGTGACTTAGCTCAGATGGGTTGGATATCAGATACGTAACGAGCGTCCGAGGTAGGTAAGGACTTGTCACGGTCCTGTCCATACTCTCAAACACCGGATCCGATGCTCTATTGCATTGCCGTCTCGAGCAGACCTCCGTGATGGGGGTACTTTTTACCCCAAATCCGGAGAAAATCTTCAGCGCAAGTCAGGGCCGCAGTTCCTACCCTGAACATGCGGCACCACTTACAGACTAGGTAAGTATCTATTGGGTACCGTTATTACCCCAACTGCCATGAGCATCACCCTCAGTATCTACTTCACACCTGTGAACACAGGCATCACATGTAAGGGAAGCTATAAGCCTTCATATCTATCCTTACTACATACACATATAGGCACAACGTCATAGCCATGGGCGACACCACACAAGTCCAGGCCTCCGTGCTGTACGGGGCCAAGGATCTCCGCGTCGTATGTAGTAACTTTGTCCCAAGTGACTTTGCTTGATTTTTGTCAAACTGTTTAATGACCAGCAAACCAGGAAACACGTACTCTCCCACCGCCCTCGGCAGGCGAGGTCCAGGTCGCCGTCTCGGCCACGGGGCTATGCGGCTCGGACCTGCACTACTACCGGCACTTCCGGAACGGCAACATCGTGGTGCGGGAGCCTCTGACGCTGGGCCACGAGTCCGCGGGCGTCGTCGTGGCCGTCGGGGCCCAGCAGCGCAACACGCTCAAGGTGGGCGATGTGGTGGCTCTCGAGGTCGGCATCCCTTCTTGCTCTGCGGCGGGAAAAGGAGGAGAAGGAGAAGAATGCGAGCACTGCAGACAAGGCCGCTATAACATCTGCAAGGGGATGCGCTTCCGCAGCTCGGCCAAGAGCTTCCCGCACGCGCAGGGCACGCTGCAGACGCGCCTCAACCACCCGGCCGCGTGGTGCCATAAGCTTTCTTCCTTACCCTCATCCTCCCCTTCCAGCCCTTCAGACACAAAGGCTCTGTTGGAGCTAGGCGCGCTAGCGGAGCCGTTGTCCGTGGCGCTGCACGCTTACAAGCGCTCCGGACTCCCTTCTAGCCAGTCTCAGAAGAACGATGGAGATGGTGGTAGTAGTAATAACGAAAAAGACAATGGCCACGACAACAACAACAACGGCAAGACGATCCTCGTCCTAGGCGCAGGTGCCGTGGGACTCCTCTGCGCGGCCGTGGCCAGGTACCGCGGGGCCAAGACCGTCCTGATAGCAGACATACTGCCCGAGCGCGTCGCCTTCGCCGTCACCAACGGGTTCGCCGACGCCGCTTACGTCGTCTCGTCTCCTCCTTCTCCCTCTAATGGTGGTGGGAGCCGGACAATTGACGAGAAACTCGCTTATGCGCAGGACGTCGCCGAGGAGATGAAGGCCGTGGGAGAGATAGGGGAGGTGGATGCGACGTTTGAATGTACGGGGGTTGAGAGCTGTATGCACATGGCCATCTTTGTAAGAAAATCCATTCCATTCTCATCCATTTCTTTTCTTTCCTTCGTTGCATCCCTCTTGCTTCTGGAATCGCTACTTTTTTAAGCGCCTCATACGAAACTATAAACATTCAACTTAAGGTTAGAGAATTAACAATCAATTCCCCTTTCTGAAATAACCAGGCAACCAAACCAGGCGGCAAGATAATGATAATAGGCATGGGCACGCCCGTCCAGACGCTGCCCATCTCGGCCGCCTCTCTCAAGGAAGTCGACCTCGTCGGCGTCTTCCGGTACGCTAACACGTACCCCGTCGCCATCGAGCTCCTCCTATCCACCCTATCCCAAAACGATGACGAGAGCGGAGGGGCAAGAAGGGGCCGTCTGCCGGATATCAGCAAGCTAGTCACGCACCGCTTCAGGGGTCTCGACAGCGTCCCCGCCGCCTTCGACATGGCAGGCAGGGTCAAGGACGATGAGGGGAACTTGGTCATCAAGGTCATGGTTGATACGAGCGAGTGATCGAACGAATGAGCGTGGGCGAGCGAGGGAGTGGACTTTCATAGAGTACAGTTTTGCGTGGAAGTGGATGATTTAAAACCCAGGATATTTGAAGAAAAATTGTATCTAGCTGGTAAGGAAAATCATTTTGTTCTGTAGAGAAAAAAAAGGAGTCTATCATCTCTCATCTCTCGTCTCCCATCTCTCATACATGGTCAACCGTAGTCCGCTGCGTATATGTCTCCAGATATATATAATTCAAGATGAAGGCCCTATTTCATGAGCCATATCCAACATGTTAATCAAAAGAAAATCCCCAAACTCCATCACGTGCAATACTCTCCGACGCTGGCTCACAACTTTGCAACTCCACCAATATTCGTCATGTCGTAATCGTTATTCGCATCAGATGATCCCTCCCTCGGAATTTCCTCCCAGGCTAAACCGCACGTCTGATAGCCCGCGCTATCTTCCCGCACCATCTTCTAACCCGCGATTTCTTCGCCGGCGTCGTGATGCTCTCGAGGGCTTTCGGAGTCGTCATGTCGGCACGTTTGACGTCGTCCTCGTTAATGATCGTGGGCTCTGTGTTTGTGCTCGATCTCCTCTCCTGCTTTCCCGCGTCTTCTTCCTTTTCTTCCTTCGACGCACTGATGCTGAGCGACGTCCCCTGTTCTGCAAGACGAGCAACTCCATCCACGTTCCCACTCGAGACCTCGCCCGCTTTCTCCGTCTCCTGTTTCTTCGTCTCTTCTCCTTCCTTCGCCTCCTTCGTGGGGCTGACGCTGGAAGACGTCCCTTCTTCTTCGAGACGAGCGGCTTCACCCACTTTCTCCTTATCCATCTCATTTTCCTCATTCTCTTCCTCTTCCTTGGGATCTGTCGACGCGCTGGTGCTGGGAGAAGTCCCCTTTTCCGCAAGACGACCATCTTCATTCACACTCACATCTGCAACCCCGTCCTCCTTCTCCTCCTCCCTCTCTTTTTCCTCCTGTTTCGCCTCCACTCCCTTGTCCTCCTCTTCCTTAGACGCGTTGACACTAAGTGACGTCCCCTGTCCTTCGAGGCGGGCAACTTCACCCACGCTCACATCCGCAATCCTGTCCATATTTCTATTGCCCACTTCACCTTCTTCGTCTTTCTTCTCCTGTTCCTCTGCACTCGCTTCTGTCAATCTGCCACCTTTGCACGTCGTCCCTTCGATAGTGTCACTGATATCCGCATTCCCGATTGACTTGTCGTGCAAGTCCCCATCCGCGTTGACATGCCCTTGTGCGCTTGTTGCGTCCTCGGGAGCCTTGACTGCCGGCCTAGTCAACGTCGCCTCATCATCCTCCGTAGTCTCCTCGACTTTCGCACCAGACCCATGTAGGGCAAGCTTCTCATTGACTTCCCTAATGAAGTTCCTGACCGATTCCTGATCTTTCCATTCCTTTTCTACTGCGCCTCGTTCCTTGAGGGCTCTGATCACAGCTTGTAATCGTTGGTCAAAACCTTCGCTCATCTTCTTGTATGACGGCACATTTATGCCCCAGAGATTGTCAATGATTTGTGTCAGGTCCACCTTAAGCCGGTTCAGCGCTAGAAGTATCGTACAAACTGTTGAATTCGGTAACTTCGGTTGCCACCCATTTTGGGACGACCATATTTCATGAGTACCGTTAGTATTCCATAGGACATAACCATTAGGATCGGCGCCTGCTGGCACCATCTTTTCGGCGACCGTAAGAAAGTCAGATAGGTCACCAACGTGAGTACCTCCTCGATTGCCTTCCCCCCATAGCAGAGACCTAAACGCAACACCTGGGAACCATAGAAACCATTGCCAGACAGAGGTCCCTTTGTACAGTCCGTTGGGACTTACATGATGCTCTAGAAGCAGTTGGATCGTAGTTCCAGATCCGATTTCTGTTCCTAGTATCGGTACGCGGATGCAAGCCAACAGTAGTGGGTAACTTCCACTTTTCAAGACATCCGGTCCGCCCTTTTCTAAGTGGCTTCTGAGGTAGTCGTCCAGCCTCGTTGCCGCCGCGAAAGACAAGATGGAGGCTTGTTTGTCGTACAGAAGCGAACGGAAATAATACACTCTGTGTGAAGAGCTCATCAGCCCTGAATAATGAACCCAGGCTGACCAGTGATAACTTTGATCTGGTATGGCTTTCCTTAGCAGCGAGAAATACTCGTTGCCGCCAATTCTGGCACCATCAGGGACACTCAGCGGCGTGCGATACTGTGC